CTGAGTCCCAGGCTTGGTTGAGCCTTGCTGGATGATGATATAACAAAAGGGCTTTGGGCAATTCCTATTATAGCTTTACCTGGAGTAGAACTTCGTTATGTAAAATAGACTGCCCTAGGCCAGAGTAATGGTCCATTAGCAAAGGTGGGGAGAGTGGGGGCTGAGTTTCTGCCTTTTTGAGTTTCTACTTTTCTTTTTAGGGAAAATATTCTGTCTTTTTAGTATATCCTAAGATATTTCATTTTCCTAGGAGAGGGGTGGCTTTTAACTTCCAACACCCCCACTCTCCCAAGTGAAACTACCAGGATTCATTCCAGTCTCCTGGACCATCGCAATAACCAGGGACACTCTTCGCGATGTTTTTTTCATACTCTTCACAACCAGCAGTTTGGGGAAACAAAACCTTTTCTTCGGGTTAACTGGACCTCCACCTTGCTATTTTACGGGGGGGGGGGGGCGGGGGGGGGCATGTGTGTGTGTTATCTGGGCTGATCGGCAGTTCCAACCGAGGATTGGCCTGAAATGGTCTAGATGAGGGGCCGCCAACTTTTTGGACCTCAGGGATCACCAAACTCATAATGTTAAATCCCGCGGACCAGAGACCCTGGGAAAGTCCCCAAAAAACTCTGCAGGAAAATTCCCCACCCCATTTTTCTACAGATCTATCATTCTTTATTTGGGATCGCAGGATACCGTCTCCAGTTCTGTTCTCAGGGGGAGAAAGAGAGAGAAAGACTTTTGGCTTCATGCAAGGAAAGCAGCAGAAGCAGCAAAAGTCTTTCTTTCCCTCCCCGCAACTCTGCCAGAAATGAGTCTTTCTGATGCCTTGCAGGGTCCCAAAGACTCATTTCTGGTGGAGTTTGGGGGAGAGAAAGAAAGACTTTTGCTGCTTCCCTTGCATGCAGCCAAAAGCAGAAGAAAGAAGCGGGGAAAAAAGCATCCCAGTGGCCAGGCAAGGTGCATGGGGTGCGTGGGGCAAGTTCCCCCCCTCTGCCCTTTCCCCCCTCCCCTCACTATCTCATGTTGTTCTCAATGCAAACAACGCAAACCTTGTGTTCCAACGGGCCATATGGGCAGCATAGCCTTGTGTTCCCGTGCAGCCTGGATTAATTGCTTTGGGGGTGACATTTCTCTGCGGACCACCAAAATTTTCTCACCGACCACCAGTGGTCCCCGGCCCACTGGTTGGTGACCACTGGCCTAGTCCAGGGGTCTCCAACCTTGTCAACTTTTAAGCCTGGCGGACTTCAACTCCCAGCAAAGCTGGCTGGGGAATTGTGGGAGTTAGAGTCCCCGAGGCACAGTTGCCAAGGTTGGAGAGGCGCCCCCCCCCCACCCACTAGACTCTAGAGTCTCCTTCTTGAGCAGAGGGCTGGACTAGACAACCTCCAAGGTCCCTTCCATTCTCTATTCTGATTCAGTGACTGAACAGGACCAGAGCTGGCATTCAACGCCGGGGGTGGGGGTGGGGTGTGTGTGTGTGCCTCGGGACGGGCTCTGCAGCCACTGCAGAGAGTGACGCATCCCTCCTCCGCCTATGGTCGTGTTTCCATTCCCCCCACCCGTCCCCCCCGCCGCTCCGGCTGCTCCTTCCCCTTCCCCGCTCACGTTCCGATCGCCCCATTTCCGAGACGCGGGCGGGTTGAAGCCACTGGCCGGGGGCCCAGCCCGGCTGGCCCGGCCTCCCTACCGGTACATTAAAAAAAAAAATCCCTCCCCCCTCCCCCCAACCCTTCGATCTTTAGGCCCGCGTGGCTTTTTTTCCCCCCCGCTTGGTTACGCCGCCGCCGCCGCCGCTGCTGCAATGCATCAAGTTTGGCGGCGCCCGCCTCCTCCTCCGCCTGGCGCACGCTTTTGATTCATCCCTCCTCGCCCTGTCCAGCAGCGAGCCAGAGCAGTTCCCGGGCGGCTCAGCCTCTGCCGCAGCGGTGCGCGCCGCCGGGCAAGGCTAAGGCAAGAGGAGAAGCGGGGCGGGGGTGGGGAGTAGGTCGCCTCGGGGCCGGAGGAGAGCAGGTGGGGTGGAGGGGGGGGGGCGGAGAGAAGCGAGGAGTCGCCCAGCCAGCGGGCGAGTCATCATCCCCGCCGCTCGCTCCCGGGCGGGCCCGATCCCCTTCCGCATCCAGCGCAGCTCCCCCATCCAGCCTTCCTTTCGCCAGCATATCGGAAGGCGGGGGCCGCAGTCGCTCCGACCCCTTCCCGTGCAGCCCGCCAAGGTTTCGGCCAGCCGGCCAGCCAGCCAGCGAAGAGGCTACATGGATCCGGCCCTCTCGAGTCCCGCGGAGGAAGCACCTGCCCGAGGAGGGAGCGGCTGATCTCGGGCTCCTCCTGGGCGGCAGCGGAGAAGCTGCCTTTTGCCAAGGGCTTGCTTGGAGAAGTGGCCCCCCGCTTCTCTCTCTCTCTCTCTTTTTAAGGGAGGGGGGCGTCTAATTTGGAGAGGAGCGACCCTCTTCCCCATTGAGAAAAGGCCCCGGGAAGACCGCGCGGGGTGGGGCGGGGGCTTCATCGCGGCCGCGGAGGAGCCGCGACCTTCCGGCCGTGCAAGAGAGGGCCGCAAAGGCGGCACCTTGTCACTCCGGGCGCACCTTGAAGCCGAAAGGACGCGGGAGCGCGGGTGGCCGAGGCCGGGCCGGCGCGACCGGGAAGAGCCGCCGCCTCCTTGCCCATGGCTGGCTGAAGAAGGGGGACCCGGTTGCCGCGCTGCCGCTCGCCTTTCCTCGGGCCCATCCCAACTTTTATGGCTCCCCCAGCAGCCGGCCGCCTCCTCTGCTTCTTGGTGCCATCTCGCTCCCCGGCTTGGGTCCCTCGCAGACCCGGGGCGACGGGGGCAGCAAAAGCAGCAGCAGCAGCAGCAGCCGTCGTCGAGGCAAGGAGTGGCGGAGCGCCTCGTGCGGCCGACGTCCGTGACGATCCCGGGCAGGATCGGGTGTCCGAAGCAAGGGCAGGTGGATCCGGCCGGGACATTCCGAGCAGCCGCGGCTGGGTTTCCTTCAGCGAGCTATAAATACCCTCGCGGGGAAAATTCTTTGACCAGGATCGTCTGACTGTTGACCGCAAGAGATTGCTTGGAAAGGGCGGGACGAGCCCACCGAAGCGGGGCCCACCTCCCCCCGGCCGAGAAGGGAGCGCACCCTGGAGCCGGATCCCTCAGCATGGCCGCCCTGCGACCTGTCTCGCTGCTGCTCTGCCTGGCCTTGGGTGAGTTGGACATGCCGGGGTAAGGGCGGGGGGGGGGGGGGGTTGGGGGGGAGAAGGCCACGGGGGGGGGGGGGGGGGGGGGGTCGGTTGGAGAAGGTCCGAGGAGACGGCGCGGGACCCCCGGAGGGTGTATTGAGAGGCCCGGCATAATGGCGAGTCTTCCCCCCCCCCCTTGAAATCCCTCCCTTCGGGCTGTGCGTGGACGCTGGCGGGCTCAGGCCTTGTGGGAGAGGATGATGGGCGGCCCCCCAGCCTCGACCCAGGCCGCCTTTTCTCCTCAGAAGGCCTCTAATTTGGAGGCTTTCTGAACGGCGTAAGCAGGTAAAGTCTCCGGGAAGGACTCTTGCGCTTTTCTTCTCTGGGCCTTTTTCGTGCCAAGCGAAAGGAAGTGTTCAATCTGGGATGCCCTCCGTTTGCTGCCGGTTTTAACAGATTAAGAGAGTTGGAGGGGTCCTTGTAGGTCATCTAGTCCAACCCCCTGCTTCTGTACCAAAGGTTGGGCCTGGACTTCTGGATCTGTGTGATGTGTAGGCTTGGATGGAACTCATGCAATCGCTTCCCCCCAAAACACTTTTGCACCTTTTTTGGGATGAGGGGGTTTTGTCCCCTAAAACTCTTGGTGCCTTAAATCCAGATCAGGCCCTCTTCTTCACTGCAGAAAACCTAGAATTTCTTGCAAAGCAATGAAATCACAGCGGCTGGGTGGAGGAAGAAAATGGGAAACTTAAAAGATGCTTGAGATTTGAAGGGGACTTCAGGGTGGTCAGAGGAGCCCTACTGAAGACAGGAGGCTTATGCCATGCTGGTAGGATCAAGGGCAATTCAGAGCAAAGACCGCCAAACACAGGTTTCTTTCTGACTCAAGAAAGGGAAATTGTCTTTTGAAACCTGGGATTTCCAGAGATGGTGGATGTCCCTAGCTCTGCAGGGACAGAGATGTGCAAGGATGGCAACCATGCTGCAGTCAGATTGGCAAAGCAATAGAAGAAATGCTTGTTTTTAATTCTGGAGGCAAAATATAATTGGAATATATAATTGGAAAATATAATTTTCACTAACTCGCACCTAAGTTTCTTTTAACTGTTTAAAGAAAATGATAAATAATCTGCCTCAGTCCTGTAGCCTGGGCCTGTAGCCTGCAATGTCAGTTCTCTCCACCCCCCCACAAATAATGCACACTAAGGCCATCTCTTACATCAGTTGAAGCTGCCTTACTAGCAAACTCTTAATGCATTTAAAGGTAGCCTTCCTTTCCTTGCTTTTTTTATTGAGTGTGTATGGTGAGACAGGAGGGTGTGCTTCCCATTTCTTCCCTTATTTTCTACAGTTTCCAATCTTGGATTTCCTTATCGATTTCAAAGGCTGCTTGGAACCTTCTCTTCATCAGTCCCTAGGAGAGAGCAAAGTTATTTTCTGGTCCAGAGAAACATATGCCTTACAGTGAAATTTGCCCTTCAGATGTCCAAGCCCTGCAGCCCACAATCACAGGAGATTTGAGGCTCTCTGTAGAGGGGTGTGAGAGTTTCCTTCATCTGGGGAAAAAATGTCTGGTTTTCCAACTTAACAATTTTTATTAAAAGGCATACATCCCATGACCTAAGGCTCCCTTCGTCAGATGCATCTGATCCTACCAGATCTGATCAGATGCTACTAGACTCTTGATTTTTTTTTGTGACCGTAGATAAACACAGCTGTCCTCCTGCAATGTCATCATCCTGCAAGAGTTGAAAAATAATTAAACACTTGAACAACAACCTCTTCTTTCTCTTATCCAGGAATAGAATGGAAAATGTGTATAGTACCGTCAATTCCCAACCTGCTAGGTAGAAACAATTTTTAGCATCAATTTTTATTTATTTCCAGCTGTTCCTATTTTACAACCTACAAAGTAAACCCATTGTAGACAAAGCTGATGGTTGGTGGTAACATTTTTAAAACCATCAAAAGAAACAGAAGGAGGATATTAATTACAATCGTAGACTCTTCAGTTTAAGACAAAAACAAAACCAACTAATAAAGAACTGAATTAAAATAAAATAAAGCATGTCATCATCAGAAGGTATTAAAGTAATTTGGTTGAAGGTCCTTATATAACTATTTTTCAAACTTGGCAACTTTAAAAACGTGTGGACTTCCACTTCCAGAATTCCATGCTGGTTGCAGAATTCTGGGAGTGAAAGTCCACACATTTCAAAGTTGCTAAGTTTGAAAGACACTGTTTTAAAAGGCCTTTGAAAAGTCTGGTTACAAGTGAGGGCTAGGTATTTTGTTTTATGCTGCCCCTTTCTGAGAAGTTTAACTGTCTGCTTCTTAATGCATAACAACTCCTGAAAAGTAAGTTTATCTGACAGATCATTTCCTTCATTTCTATTTCATCATGGCTAAATTTGAATTCGACACTCTGCTTTTTTCAGTCCTAGTCCATGCCAGTATTCTCTTTGCCTCCCAAATGTTCTAACTCCCTAGAATATACAGCATTTTGGCAACCGTTTTTCCAATTTCAGTCTTCCCTACCTAGTTACCTGCAATTGGTTTTTCTTCCTGGTAGAGGAGTCACCCTATAAGAAACAGCTTCAGCAGAAGGACCTGGGTGTTTGGTGGAAGAAAAATTATATTGAACTCTTTTCTGGAAAGTTCTAGAGTAATCTGGTTTTCGTTGTCTGCAGGTGGGTTTAATCAATGAATAAATCAGTGTTGGCATATTCCGTCAGGCCACCAAGATCTCCAAAGTGGAGTGAATGGCTGCTGTAAGACCTCTGTAAGCGTGGTTGAGTTTTTGACAGAAATTCAGAATGTGTTTCATTAAAAGTGAGATTCCTTACACTTGGTTGTTGAAAACCTGGGCTGCGAAACTTGGCAGCAAAGAAAGTGGACAAGTTCACAGTAATTAAGCTTTCAGAATTATACCATATCATTAAGCTAATTCATTACATGCGTCTATCTGTCTATCCTTTATCCTCTCTCTTCCATCTATCCTCCATTATCTATCCTTTTATCATCCATCTATCATATTTTTATAGCTGCCCAACTCACAGATACGATGCTCGACCATGTACAATAAAACGACCAGCTAAAACAAATAAACAGCAATAATTAACACCTATTTACACACAGATATAAATAAGACTGTGTAAGAATGAACCAGCGACTTACACACACTAACCATCTTACAGGTTCCCTGTTGCCATGGGATCCCCAAGTCTCTTAAACTGGGTTTGAGGGATTTCCTAAATGGCAATAGGATCAGGACTAATTAACTGGGGAGGGGGGTGATGTTCCAAAGGATGGGGGGCCACAATAGAAAAGGCCATGCTCTTGAATCTCCCCCGATAGAACTCCTTAACAGAAGGGACCCATAACATGCCACTCCTGCAGGACCCCCAATGGGATGGGTAGATGTAACTTGGGAGAGCCTGTCCTTCAACTTGAGTACATGTCATTTTAAATTAGAAGCTGAGTTGGGAAGTGGGAGGAAAGGAGGAAATGGCATGAAGCCAGAAAGGCAACATGAAGCAATTTGCTTACCTCTGCACCAGATATAAAAACTTCCACCCCTTGCACAGTGTGTTGTGTCTTCAAAATATGCTGTATTTTATGTAGCAAGAATTAAAGATTGTATAATCAATCGCTGTAAGCTCCAGTTACCTGCCGCAGCTCCTGCTCACCTAACAGTTTGAAAGCAAATGCAAGTAGATGCAGTAGAGGTATCACTTAGGTGGGAAGGTAACAGCATTCTGTGCGCCTCAGCATACAGACATGCTATCCACATGACCATGGAAATGTTTTTGGACAATGCTGGCTGCCTTGGCTAAGAAACTGAGATGAACACACCTCCTAGAGTCAGATATGACTGGATAGGGTAAACCTTTACCTTTATAATGAATTATTTCTTTGATTCTTTTCCTGGCTTTTTTACTTTGTATAAATAACTCAAGGTAGAAAACATACTTAATACTCCTTCAGCCTCTTATTTTCCCCACAACAACAAACCTGTGAGGAGAGTTGGGCTGAGAGAGCGGGACTGACCCAAGGCCAGCCAACTGGCTTTCATGCCAAAGGTGGAACTAGAATTCACGATCGCCTGGTTTCTAGGCCAGTGCTTTAAACATTTCTCCAAAATGACTCTCTAATCATGCAATCCTGGGTGTTAACTTTTCTTTCTGAAAGGCAGTGTTTTTGCTATAAATGGAGCCTCCACATCTGGTGGCAATTTATCTTTAAATGCAGGGTGCCATGGAGAGACAATAAAGGTGGGCTTGTAGAGATTTCCTGGAATATCTTGCTGGTATTTCTTAGAAAAAAGCTACTAGATTAGATGTACAGTAATCCTAGTAAGGCTCTTATGTTCTTTAGTGTTGGCCTCCATGCAAAGTTGTCTCCTCGGAAGGCACAGAATTGTGGTTGCTTGTCTGACAGTATTTCCTGACCTTGGAATATTGTGTGTTCTGTTTTCATTGACATAACAAAGTATTTTTTGAAGACTGAAATCCCTATCAATTCTTTCTAGAACCTAGTATTTTTTGAAGACTGAAATCCCTATCAATTCTTTCTAGAACCGTGGCGCCTTTAAGACTTGTGGATTTCAACTCCCAGAATTCCCTAGCCAGTTATGGCTGCTTAGGGAATTCTGTGAGTTGAAGTCCACACTTCTTCAAGTTGCCAAGGTTGGACATCCATGATCTAGAAGGTTTTCTCCCCTAATCTAAAGCCAGTTATTCTAACTCCCCCAAGAATATTGGGGCAACCTAAAATTCCTTAGCGATTCATAAATATGCTTTGCATATGTTCAAATATGCAACACACTGCTTTCTGCTCCCATTCTAAAACCAGGTTTCCACTGCAGCTGTTTGGCTCTGGGCCTGCTTCCAGCTGATTTTCTGGAAAGCATTTGAAATTAGAAGTTCCAAAGCAATTCCATTACCGAACAAATCAATGGCCTTGCTTTATGTTGTGTGAGGCTCTTTGCAAATGACATACAAATGATATCCTCTAAAAAAAAA